TCTCGTGAGATAAGATAGTCATCCTAAATAAAACCCACAAAGAGACCAAAAGAAAGAATCTAGTGAAACTATTTACTACGTACTTTTGAAGCGGAGAAGTTCATTTCTTTGGAGCTCCCAAACCCATGAATAAGAATGATCTTGTAATTGGCTTCATCCTTTGGTACACCTGTCTCTTTATAAGCTAGGAATCCCCCATCCCGGAGCTTAATTCTGTCCATGGAATCTGAAACTTGATTCCTCTGTTTCCACAACTTGAGTTACACTTTGAAAGGACCTCACAATTAGTCGGAAGAATCAGAAGAGAAACATATCGGGCAAGAAGATGATGAGTTCGATTCTCGGAGGAAGCTGAAACTGTTTGGATGATCTGTTTTGGGTTTGTGAATATGGGATGAGAGAATGGTTTCTTGAGGAACAAGGATCGAAGAAGAAGAGGTAATTATGCTCCTTTTTCTTAGCTGATTCAAGTTTTGAAATCCAAGTCGCCTCATTTCTTGTATGATTTGTAAAAGTGTAGGATGTTATTTGATGATCTCAACAAGCTATAAACTTTTGCTTTTAATTTCTAAGTTTCTTTTTCATTTGGGATATCCGTATATTCCTTTATTTCAACTAGTACTTGATTGGCTTACTCTGTGTAAGCTTTAAAAACTTTCTTTGACACGTTTGCATATCAAGAGATATATTGTACAGTTTCAAGAATTCATTTTTTAAATAATTTTCAATTTCTCATTCTCTTTTATGATTAGGAAATCAAAATATTCAACTCTCAGTTTCTATAGAGATTGGCCATTTATCCACCTCTGAAACATGACAAAACTTTCCTCTGGTTTATATTGTGGTGTATGTGTTGGAATTCATAACGATTTATAACTATTTATAAATTATCAATTAAGAATTCAATTCACCAGGATTCGTGCAAATATTAAATTAGATCTAAACTATAGAGTTTGAATATACCTGGATATTCTTGCAGCGGAAAGATGGATTCAAATGATTCTAGGTTGCTTAGCACTCCAAGTGTCGTGTCTCTACTGATATCCACACGCACACAAACTGGATCTGACGGGATGCTAGTACCGTAGAGATCTAATCTCAAAACACTTGACTATCAAGTTAATTATCGGATTTAC